TCCGGGTCCCCCCCAACCTCCCCACTCTTTCCGTCGCGTTGGTCTAAGTCCTCGAGGCGGAGAGAAAGGAGTGAAGGACGGCTACCTGTGGCGCTGCCAGGTGGCCTCGGTCACGTGGGTTCGTGACGTAAGGGGTAAAAGAATCTTGAGGTCATGGGGCTTCCCCTGACCTGGATTCTATCTCTCCGTCACCGGCAGAATCGCTGATTAATGCCCACAGTTCAAAATAGTCATTTTGACTGACCGGAGTCTATGGTGGGTATGAACTATGTGAATAGGCGGGTTCGGAGAACCCTCGCCTAATTCAATATTAATTTAAGTCTGGTAATGATATTTTAGATAAATTAAAGTGTTTCCTCATATGTCTTATATGAACATATTGATATTTTTATCTTTACAAGTTTACATTAGCTTCACTATGTTTTACTATTCATATAGTAAGTCTGTGTCTTTATTTAGAGTGTTTCTTTCTTGACATGCTCCACTTCTACCAAGGGTAGATTTAAAAACTTTCTAAAAACACTTAAACAAAAAAATAAAATGATGCTCATAGTGTCATATATGTCCAACACGGCAATGACCAGAGAGTGGGCTTATTGGTTCAATGTCAAATCCAATTATTAACTTATATTTGTTTTTTCCTTTTTTCCCTTCTGCTAATAGTTTTACAGAACTGAATAGTGGATCAATAAAAGTACTCCTGAAGTGAAGATATGGGAATAAATTCCTTCTTGTAAACCTTTGTGGCCTTGGAGTAGTTCAACACAGTGAATTTACCGAACCACGCCACAATAATTCAGATAGTGTTAATTCAAATAGTGTGACATTAACATATTTTAAAATTAACTGTTACTGTACACCCTTTTTTATTGCAATCAGGATTATTTGTATTTTGAAATCAAAATCTAAAAATCTGTATTAGAAGCTGTATCCCTAATAGATATCACCTCCATTTCTTTTGAATAATTGAGAACCTAAAATTCATCATTTCTCATATGTGTAGATGCTCTAATAGCAGCTCTGTTGAATTGTACCATTTCAGTAGTAGACACAGCTTCTAATACAGATTTTCCAATACTGCCCTCTGTAGGTTGGAAATGTGTATTTTATCATTTACGGTAATTCCTACCGTTTTCTTAATGTTGGATGCCGTTTTGTAGTATTTTTTTTCAATAATTTGCATTTTTTTCTTTTGTAACTGACAAAATATGTGCTTAAAAATGTTGTAATGTTTAGTAAATTGTTGTCAGCCTCATATTAACCCTTAATGTCATGTTTGGAATATCAAATCAGTAATACCGCCACCAATAATTGGCGAGCCATACAGCTGGTCATTAGAACAGGCAATTTAATTTTGGGTTACATCATTCTCAAGAGGAGACAAGCTAAATTGTGGGAGGGACATTTTTGTGATATATTTTTTAATGATCTCATGTTGCCGTGACAGTAACTCATTATTTTTGTTGTTGTGATAATCACTGTTATTGCTTAATCAGAACGTACCTCCAGGCAAACTGTTGTACAGCAGCCATCCAGGTAAGGGCTTTGTGATTTTGGAAATCAAAAGTGATATTGTTCGTTTTATTTGCAATTAACATACATTGTGCGAAAAAATTTACATGTTTTATATGATGCCAATGTCATTTTTTTTTTTTATTTCATTTGTAGAATTAGTAAAAACCTAAAAAGTAATTTTTTATATTGAAAACCCAAAAGTACAAAACACCAATGTTTAATGTCTGTGAGGAAAAAAATTTGCCAAATATGAGAGCCTTTTTTAAATATAATGTAAATTAAATTTTTTTATTATCTTGTAATGAGAAGATTTTCAGTATCACTGCATTGACAAATGTTTTATTCTAAGATAATAGTCATTTATTAGTTGGCCATGTATGTTTCAGATTTCTTAATGTACATGTCAGCATGTCAAATGCATTTAAATTTTGTTCAAAAATGTATTTTATACGTCGTATGGCAACCATATCTAATGTTCCACGGTTTGACAACTGGGCCACTTTAACTGAACATCTCAGCCACAATGTAGGATTGAAAAATGTAAAAATGAAAGCCATATTTTATCGGGTCAGTTTTTGACATTTTAAGCGTATTTTTTCACATCGACATTTTGGTTAACGTTCAAAATTGGTTTTATTGTGTAATTACTAGCCTATGCTTTTTAATTGACAATAATCAAGTTATTTTTCAGTCTTTTATCACTCCAATGTCTGAATCATTCTGTGCATCTTTTATATGAATAATTTATTGTTTTATCAACATTGATTATGAGGGCTTTCATAGAGATAATGAAAATATTGAAATTTATGTATTTTACTGGGTGTCTATCAAAAAAAAAGTTTGGAAACCAAGCCTAACATACTTTTTTAGCAGTATTGTTTATTGTGTATATTTCTCGGTTTTAGGGATTGATTTTTGTTCTTCGAAATCACATTTAACATTGATCTAATGTTCCAGTATAGAACTATCTTATTTTAATTTTGTCCTTGAACGAAAAGCAAGCTATTTTTTAGAGCCCTTTGGGATTTTTAAAAATCTATGTTCATTCTGAAAGCAATTATACATGGATATTTCTCAATCATTTAATGTAGATTTATGTCTTTAAAAGATGCCTTCCTTCTTCAGACAAATTGCACTACTATGTATATATTGACATTCAAAAACTAAAAAGTTAATCAAGATATTCCTTTTATAGTGACATTGAATTTTATAAAGACATGAATATTTTAATATTTATCCTTAAATCTCAAACACGCACAAAAATTTGACTGTAATTACATTTGGCAACACCCATTACCCATGAGTCTCTATGGACTTCCTGCAGTGAATTATCTATGCCTTATGATTGATCTAGTTGTCTTCAACCACCAATTGAA